AGGAAGGAGGAGGAGGAAGAGAAGAAGGAGGAAACAGAGGAGAAGAAGGGGGAGGAAGAAGAGGAAGAGGAGGACAAAGAGGGGGATTGGGGGGCAAGGGAGGAGGAGGAGGAGGAGGACAAGGACGAGGATGAGAAGAAGGAGGAAACAGGAGGAGGAGGAAGATGAAGGCTTGGGGGGCAGGAAGGAGGAGGAGGAGGAGGACAAGGAGGAAGAGGAGGGGGAAGAAAAAGAGGAGGAGGAGGAAGGAGAAGAGGCCGAGGAGGGTGAGGATGAGGAGGAGGATGAGGAGGCTGAGGATGAGGCTGAGGAGGAGGAGGAGGCTGAGGATGAGGAGGAGGAGGAGGAGGATTAGGAGGAGGAGGAGGCTGAGGATGAGGCCGAGGAGGGTGAGGATGAGGAGGAGGATGAGGAGGAGGAGGAGGAGGATGAGGCTGAGGCTGAGGGTGAGGAGGCTGAAGATGAGGTTGAGGATGAGGAGGAGGATGAGCAGGAGGATGAGCAGGATGAGGAGGAGAAGGAGGAGGCTGAGGCTGAGGATGAGGAGACTGAGGATGAGGATGAGGAAGATGAAGAGGAGGAGGAGGAAGATGAGGCTGAGGACGAGCAGGATAAGGACACGGATGATGATGAGGAGGATGCCGAGGAAGGCAGGGGGGTTGGGGGGGGTCTCTGACCTTGCCCTGGTAGAGGCCTTCGGCCTCGGCGCGGCTGCGCCCGGCGATGTCCTCGAACTGCGCCCGAACCTCGGCCAGGACCCCCCCCATGTCCAGGTGCCGGGAATTGTCCATGGAAAGAACCACGGACGTGTCCGAGCCCTGGGAACGCAGCTCCTGCAGCTCCTGAGGGGACGGGAGGGGGACCAGGATGGGGACACCCCAAATACAGGGAGAGACCCCAAATACAGGGATCCCAAATACAGGGACACCTCAAATACAGGGACACCTCAAATACAGGGACCCCAAATACAGGGACACCAAATACAGGGACAGACATCGAATACAGGGACACCCCAAATACAGGGAGAGACCCCAAATACAGGGACACCAAATACAGGGACCCCCCAAATACAGGGACACCCCAGGAGAGGGACACCCAGGACAGGGACACCCCAAATACAGGGATCCCAAATATGGGGACCCCAAATACAGGGACATCCCAAATACAGGGATCCCAAATGCAGGGACACCCCAATACAGGGACACCCCAATACAAGGACACCCCAGGACAGGGACACTCCAGGACAGGGATACCCAGGACAGGGACACCCCAGGACAGGGACCCCCCAAATACAGGGACCCCAAATACAGGGACCCCCCAATACAGGGACCCCCCAATACAGGGACACCCCAAATACAGGGACACCCCAAATACAGGGACACCTCAATACAGGGACACCTGGGACAGGGACAACCCAGGACAGGGACACCCCAAATACAGGGACCCCCCAAATACAGGGACACCCCAATACAGGGACACCCCAATACAGGGACACCCCGGGACAGGAACACCCCAAATACGGGGATTCCAAATACAGGGACACCCCAAATACAGGGACCCCAAATACAGGGATCCCAAATGCAGGCATCCCAAATCCAGAGACAGCCCCAAATGAAGAGACTCTCCCGCCGCCACCCCCCCCCAAATCCAGGGAACCCCCAAATCCTGGACCTCTCAAAATCCAAGGCACTTCCAAATCCGGGAATGCCCCAAAACCCAGGAATATCTCCCAACCGCAACCCCAATCCCAACCCCAATCCTGATCCAATCCCATCCCAATCCCAATCCCAACTCCAATCCCAACTCCAATCCTGACCCCAACCTCAATCCTAACCCCAATCCCAACCCCAATCCCATCCCAACCCCAACCCCAATCCCATCCCAACCCCGATCCCATCCCAACCCCAATCCCATCCCAATCCCAACCCCAATCCCATCCCATCCCAATCCCGACCCCAATCCCATCCCACCTCCTCGTAGAGCTGCCGCAGGAAGTTGATCTCGTCCGTGAGACTCTCCAGGTTGGACTCCAGCTCCACCTTGGCCATATAGGCCTCATCCACGTCCTGGGGGG